TCCTTGGGTTTCCTCCCCACACGCAAGCATGGAGCACTGGACAGCAGCAACAGCAGATTTGGGCAGAGGGACAAGCATCGATCAGTCTGTATTTAGCACAGCTAGTCTTGACCATTGCTAGCTAGCTCAGACTGGTCTTGTCATGTGCAAGGACCCAGTTTAGCTGGTGACAATCAGACGGCAGAGCCAGCTACCAAGGCTCAAGCAGGCACGAAGGCCAGAAACACCGTCGGGCGCTGTTAAGCGTGAGAGCTGGGTTAAGGACCTCTTCCTCCAGCAGCTCTTTTCAATAGGCTTTTAAAAAGCAGCAGGATGTGTGCATTAACGAGAACAGCTATTTTTATCACGGGTGAACTCTTCTCTAAATACTGCTGCCAAGTCTGTATGCACTAGATGTTTTACCTCAGGACAAAAACACTTTCAAACCAAACCCGGGAGGATTTGGGAGCCCCATGGCCCCTGCTAGAGCAGCACCGGGGTCAAGCCAGCACAGGCCTGGCCAAGTTACCCAACCCGCAAGATCTCAAAGCTCCCCAGTGCCAAGAGTCAACAGCAGCCCTGCAGCATCCCACCAGGGGTGAGGGACCAGGGAATGCAGCGGCCTGAAGTTCCTCCGCACACAAGGTGAAGTTTCCCCACCTCCACAAAGATCTCTGCAGACAGAGCAAATGATGGTTTCTACCACTGCGGGACCATTTTATTATGAAAATAATTCTTACAACCAAACTTTGTCAGTCATAAAACACACAGAGGGGTGGTACACGCTGCACAGCCTGAAGGATCTGGAAACTTGCGGGAACAGAACAAACTACACGGTAACCTCTCAGCTAGACCACAGGAGCCTTTTCCCCGATGCAGAATGACAACAGATCCTGAGCTGTTCGGTCATTTCCAGCACAGCTGCTCTGTACATGCTGAGTCTGACCATGAACGAGAGGCTCCTGAGTACTCACAGCCAAAGGTGAGAGACGTCACCGCTCCCCGCATGCCAGTTGGGCCAGCTGTTCTGCAGAGAGCATCACCCCAAGACAGGGAACTCTCTGCACAGAAACAGGGCTGTCAGTCCCCTGGGAAACAGCAGTGCCTCTCAAAGGGCTGCTCTAGGCTGTGCGGTTGTGTCTTGCCTATCCAGCAAATGAGGAGAGTTAGCCTAGATCTAGTAACCTTGGATAACATCAGCACAGGGTTGTTTTCAGAGGTCAACCTGCGACATCGGCATCTTCTCCAGCACTAGCCCTTTGCTTATATCTTCCCTCCTTGGAGCCCTGGCAGTCTAGGTTCAAGCTAACATGGGTGTCTGTCCTGCTCCCATCAACCCCTGCTGGCACTGCAATTGGTCCCACAAAGATATCTGTGAAATGCTCCTCAAAAGCCAACCACAGTCTGAGAGCTCCTTGTATCCGTCCCTCTCCTTCAGGCACGTTAGGGCTCCCTGGGCTTCTGGCAAAGCGTTCATCAGCAGCATGTCCCGACAAGAGGTGCCTGCGAGCAGGCGATTGGCGTTGCTGGCAAAGGCCAACCTACAGAGCCCTCAGCAGAGCTCGTGCCCGAGGCTGCTGGATGGAGCTCCTCAGTCGGAGTCGCTTCCGTCCTGCTTTGCTGACCCGACTGCTGATGCCAGCTCCTCTTCCTGGCCTTTCAACCTCTCTCCTGCAAGGGAGAACAGAGCAGCTGCTTAGCAATAGGTTAGCCGTACTGGGGAACCCATATGGTGAGGTGCAGGACCTGAACCGCAACGCCCGTGCCTCTAAACCATGCCACCCACCAGCTCACCAGCTGTGCCCCTGCTGCAAAGGCTCCTGTTCTTACAGGAACAGATGTGATGTCACCCAACTGCCTCAGCTGGAGGGTGGCCGCATCAGCCCACACCAGGGTCCTGCCACATCACACACAGAGGAGCTCCCTCCCCACAGATCCCTGCCCTTTCGGGAAGGGAACCAAGCTCTGGGAGAAGACGACAATCCAGTTCTGCCAATTCCCTCCCTTGCCCAACAGCAAGGCACCGAACTCCCGACACAGATGGCACGTGTAATCCCTCGGGAACAATTGGCAACCCTATACACCATCCCTGCAGCACAACAACGCACGGATCAATTCAGCGATGGCTCTCTGTGTCCTCTTCTCCAGCTTTTCCAGTTTCTTAGCTACATCTCGCTTCAAATCCCTAGGGAGGAGAATGATAACGTCACAACAAATCCTCCCCAACACACAGGCATGATCACAGGGGCCACGTTACACCTTTCAGAGAAGGGCAGACAAAACCCTTCTCTCTCCTACGAGGACCACGGAGCAGTGTGTCTGATACAGTCCTGATGCTCTGCCATCAGGGCAGCTCACAGGCAAGTCAACCCAATGAACAGAGCACCCCTTGTCGCCGAGACCACCACAGTGACAAGCACCCTAAAGGGAACAGTGGGGTCACTCAGCACAAGTAGGATGGGGCAAGGGTGGGACAGCCCCAGGCCTCGCGTCTCCCTCAACAGGAGGACTGGGTTTTCCATTTCTTACACTCCCAGCCCAACCCACACAACTTCAAAGTGATGGTAACACACCACTAACGCTTCTCCCTCAGGAGCAGGGCTCTGCAGGCACTCACCAGTCTGGCTTCCTGGGGGCCAGGTTTGCCAGGTCCTAGGGAGGAAAAGGAGACACCTCGTGAGAGCAGCAGGCAATGCAGATGCAGACAGGGTTCAAGTCTGGATGCAGAGATGTGTGCCAGCTGTGAAACAGCTCTGAATATATATATATATATACACATATTACATATGTATGTATGTATATACGTACCACCTCATCGATGATGGGCTCCGGCTTGGCAGCCTCCAGCTGGTCCTTCACCTTGTCTTCCACTAGATGGGGGAACAGGATCAGCGTCAGAGCAGGGTGCGGCAGCAGGCCACGGTGGGGACGAGGCAAGGAAAAACCCACCAGAGCTCTGGGATTGTTTCAAAAAGCTTTTATAAAAGCTCATTTGAATGGCATTGCCTTGAGAGCACAGTACGTACACACTGGGCAGTACGCGTATAGTGTGAGCGCGCACACAACACGCCCCTCCACCACCCAAAGCCTGTCTTTTGGAGACTCCTAAAATCAACTGAAAACGATGCAAAACCAACAACCATCAAGAGCCACAAACAGCAACGTCAGCAAGAAGTGTGCTGGGTTGAAGTCCCCTTCTTTTAAGGTCTGCGGTGACTAGCAGTGCTGAGCACATCAAAAAGGCAGGCTTTTAATTTCTTCCCAGGCAACAGCCTGGCATTTTCCTGAAGGAGCTGCGTTCCCCAAAGCATCTATTACTGCATGTATAAGGAGGCAGCTTCTCACTCCACACTAGCATGTTATTTTTAAATTCCCTGTTGCAAATAGCTTGCCTTATTCACAGAAATTGCAATTGCAGAGGCTACAACCCTTCCTCCCAGGAACGTTATCTTCAAGAATAAACGCTCCAGAACCAGAGATCCACCAAAGGCACAGCTCATGGCTCCAGAAACGCGGCGTGAGGGCAAAGCAAGGGCAAGGGATAGCCATGGAGTACGTTTGCTAGAGCTACTGCGCAGACAAGAAGGCTCAGCCCTCGAAGCGAGACCAGGCAGCAGCGAAAGGCAGTGGGAACTCCCACTATAGGGGACAGGATTTTTCTGTCTGCGTTGTAAGTCTGCCAGTTTTTTAACTGGAATTTGACTCACCGTGACTCAAACCATTTCTAAGGCTGAGACACCTTGCAGCAATCAAACTGTAGCTCAGATCTTACGCAAAGGCTTCGGGATAATAGCAAGCTAATGGCAAAGCACGCGCTGAAAAGGGAGCCCTTCTTCCTTCAGTCTGGGCACCCGTGCAAGGAGTGGGTGTGAGCACTGGGGCTGCAGCACATCTACCAGGGAAGTCACCAGCACTGGCCCCAATCTGACTCAACCTGCTTGTGTGCTTCCTGCTGCCCTGCAATTCCTTCAGCTAGAGATTTAGGACTGCAAGAAGAAACCAACCCACAGACACCAGCTTAGCACCCCTTCCTGGGTTTTCCCTCCTCCGCTGTAGTCCTGAAGGCCTTGGACAGAGCAAGCTGTGCCCACACGAAGGCTGCAAGATGGCGAGATGCCGGGATGAGGGGCCGGCAGCAGGCAAAGCCCAGTCTTGCGCCTAGAACCTGGCTGGAGTAAATCTCTGCATAGCAGTGAGCTAAACACGGGAAGGTGCCACTTGTAACTGTCCAGATGAATCCCACCCCCCACCAGAGGGACATGCACAAGGCACATTTAATGCAAATCCACCTTTAGTCCCAGTTCCCCGCCACAGCACGACCCCTGTCCCCTGCACCAGGGGCCCAAGGACAGTTTGGTTACTGCAGACGCAGGAACTGCATCTAACAGGCAACGCAGCTCCCGAAAGGGGCTGGCAGAGAGTAGGGGTTTTACTGAAAACAGTCAAAAAGGCTGTTCCCAATTCCAAACCACATGTGGGGGAAGAATAGGAGGAAGTTTTAAACTTTTACAAAAGGATAAAGAAAGCACACTGTCAGCATTCCTTCCTACAGGATCTTTGCCATGCTTCCAAAGGCAGTCTTTTTATTTAGGGCGTTTTTAAAGAGATCTGTCCCAGGAGGATTTAATATTTCAAGATCAAGGGAATTTCTACCCTTTGCCTGCCTCTCAAAGGTGTGCAGAGGTTTAGCGCTAGGAAACAGCAGACTGAATGCCCAGGACTCACAGCTAATATTTGTTTAAAGGCAGTTCAAACAAAACAGCCTGAATCTCCTTGAAAATCCTCAAGTGAGAGCTCTGCTCCTCTGAATATCTACCCGTTCATACGGGCTGCATGCGGACTTTATGTGCTCAAACACACACCCCACTTGCACAACCCACGGTGTGCAGTGCCCACAGGTGAACACAGACGATGAAGCAAGCACGGCCTGCAAGCTCCACGAATGGAAATTGCATTGAGAAAAGAAATTTGGGTGCTGCGCTGTGTTACAAACAGCTCCCGTCCTCCCACAGCATGAAAGCAGCAGAAGCCAGTCTGCACGTGCAGCAACGCAACAACGAGCCAAGGGAGAGGGGGAGGCGCAACGGCACTGCTCAGAGCAAACTGCACCAGGCAGCATCTCAGAAGTGCTCTGACAACTTTAAAATCACGTCCCTGGCAGAGGTCAGATGTGGGAGGAAGCTCCTACCACAGCTGGCCCTGCTCTGGCTGTCTCTGCTCCAGCAGGAGCCTTTCATGTCCCAGCTCCATCATCCCAGCAGCTTTCGTACTCCCTAGTTTCATCTCCCACGACGCAGCCTACACCCACCTGAGGCTGGCTTGGCCTGGGGCACCTTCCTCTTCTTCAGCTCCTCATCTTCGGGCTCGTAGTTTCGCAGTTTGAGCTCCCTGGGAAGGAAGGAAAAGAGCACAAAGCAGTGAGAGGCACGCAGGCTGCCCTGGACCGTGCCAACGCCCCCCCCCAGCCAGCGCTCTCGCTAGCGAGGGGTGCATCTACGCCACGGGCTGCGCTCAGCAACCCACGCGGTTAGTCAGAAAACGCAGGGTCGGCCAGGAGCTGCTCATGAGAAAGGGCTGTACCTTGGCAGGCCAAGGGAAGGCAGCCTACAGCTAGACCCAAGCTGCCTTGCAAGACTCTGGACTTCAGCCCAGCTCCCTTTTAGGTCCAGGCCCACCGGTATCTCCAGGACAGAAAGGCCAGGAGATCCTCGATTAGGAAGAGATGTCTAGGACTGAACTTCCCAGCTGGGATTACTACGCTCCCGCAGAACAGGCATCGACGTTCAGGCATTTCTCTGCAATAAGCCCACGAGGTCCCACTTCTCCATACGGAGGCTGCCGATCAGGGGGGACAGGAGCAACAGTCCGATGCTAGCAGAAGCGCCACAAACACAGCGCGTTAGGGCCAAAAGGGCCCAGAAAGGCCAAAAGGACCCCAGAAGTCTTCATGGGAAGGACGGGGCAAAGACCACTAGATTAGCTCAGGGTAAAAGACAGTTAACGAGTTACCAGAACTGTTTCTGGAAGTGCTACAAACAGGGGTGCGGCTCAGCAAGCGGCCTAAAGCAGCTCACAGGGGAGAAAAATCAGGTTTTTCAGCAAGCGGGTGGCGGAGCCGGTGGTGACCAGGAGGCTGAAGACACCCAGAAGTTCATCCACCCTGTCATCTCCTTCGGAGAGAGCTCAAGAGACAGGAATCAAACCCCTCCCTCGGCACACACGCTCCTCCCCAATACTCAGGCGCCAGGTCTCACCCATTTAAAGGCTGTTCTTGCTACACCCCTCGCTAACAATTTAGGCTTTGATTCGACAAACGCGTCGGATAACTTCGGCCACGCACACCCCCCTGGCCGATTCCTCGCTGAAGTCATCCCAGCGAGGAGGCATTTCCAAAATCAGGGCCTTAAAATTTCAAGCTGTCAGGAGCCCATCCCAGCTCCGACTGCTTACACGTGCGCGCAGGGTGCTTTGCAGGCTCTTTCATCTCTGTGACAGCCCAGCCCATAGGGCGAGTTAAGCGGATTAAACCCTTCAAAAGCGTTAAATGAGTTGAATCAGTTCAAACTGGAGCCGAGGCCCTCGCTGCCTGGCTATCATCCTGCACCGCTCGTCAGCGGAGCGGGGTGGCCCTTCTCCTCCGGGCAGCGAGGCCGCAGACTGCTCCGTCCTTTGCAAATTTGGTTTTGCTGCGGTTGCCAATTTGCCAGCTGCCCGGCTGCACCGAGAGGGAAAAAACATCTCGCGGTCTGCTCCTTCAGTCCCTCTGCAAGGTGCTCAGCAAGCCCTAGCTCAGAGGACTAAGGCCAGCAGGCTGGGAAGCAAGGCCCAGGCAGATTCAGAGACTCGCCGGGACTTCTCACGTAATCTATAATCAAGCGCGGGTCTCCTGAGCCCCGACATCAACGCAACACCATGCAACAGGTCCAATTTTCCCACCGCTGGGAGAAAGGACGCTCAGAAGGAACGCTTGCCAGGAGAGAGTAGCATGAAAAGGCACTATCCCCCCGCCAGGCCGAACGCGCCCTGCCTGTACTCAGCGCAGGAAGTGGTCGCTCGGTGAAGACAAGTCGCGGTGCACAGGGTAACGTGTACTTTTATGCACGCACGCCCTCGGAGGAAGAAGCTTTTAAATTAAATTAACCGGTACTGATGACTCCCAAGCCCCAGCCAGAGAGGCAGTTCTCTGCAGCAACTCCCAGCCGGCACAGCCCATCTGATCTCGGAAGACGAGCTGATTATTTTTCGCAGAACAAGATGCCGTCTCTAGGCGTGCACACACAAATCAGCGTGATTTTGTGATTTTACAAACAACCTCCGCTTCCCAGAATTTTGTTGCTAACCTGGGGGGAGAGAGAGAGAAGCAACTAATTCATCCAGGAGGTAACAGGATGTCAGCTCGTGATGTTAGACATCTGGCCACAGGCTGGCTCGCGGGAGGGGATTTATCTGACAAAGTGGCAGCCCCAGACTCTGCAAAATGCAAACTTTCAATCTTTCCCAGACGTTCTGGTCTCTCTAGCCCTCGCGCGGCAGGATTTACTCACAGCTGAGCGGGAACCAAACAGAGACTCCCTAAGGTCAGAGGGCCCAAAACAAAAGAGCTACGAGCTAAGCAAGCTGTTTCTTTCGGGTCAGCAAGATGTTACCGTCACACCTTGACAAGCAATATTTTAAAATCACCATTTTGTGCACGCGAGGCGAGCCGCGGTCGCTCGGCCACGCGGCCAAACCAGCGGAGATCTGAGAACTACTTAGCAACGTTCCCACAGCTCCAATCCCATTTCCAAACTCCGGGAGACTTTACACTCATTAGGCGCCTTCCCGCCGCGGCCACGAGCTACTCCAGGAGAAGGCAGGAGACAGTCCCCGGGGAGCAACCGGCAGACTATATGAAGCCCTGCCAAGGGTGACGCATGCTTTCCTGGCTCCAGGCACAGCGGTGGGCTCGTGGCACCCTGGCAATCCCCGAGGCTAGGGCAGGGGGCTCCAGCTCCAGATCCCCCTGCCCCAGCAGCCCTTCGTTACACTACTACAGGGCATCGGTGCCACCTGGGGAACACACGAGGAAGAGAGATAAGAGCGTAAACCTGTTCCCCGGCACCCTTTCCACCCCGAGAAGCTGTGTTCCGGCCCCACCTCTGTCCGCAAACAAAAGCGTTGCCGCTCGGGACTGCCCGTGCTCGCTGGAGATTTATCCCCGAGATTAAAAAGCTTAATGCACGGCTCGGCAGGGTCTGCTGCAGACGGGAACAGGAGCCAGGCGGGTCCGGCAGAAGGGGGACCAGCAGATCGGTGGCAGGAGCAGAGCAGAAGCGCCGCGGGGCTGCGCCCAGAAGCTCCCCTCCGCTCCTGGCGACGCGGGCGCTCGCTTCCCGCCGGCGCTTTCAGATCCTTATTAAACCCACAACTGCATCAGAAGGGGAAAAAAAACAAAACAAAACACACACACAAATCGATCCTTTTAATTAACTGCTCGATGCAAGAGAAGCTCTCGCACCTGCCTCCTGCCATGCCCAGCGCTGCCCACAGCAGGAACTTGAATTAAATACATGTTTATTTTTTAATGTATTTTTACATATAGGCACCTGTTTCTTATTGTTTTCTTAATATATGTATGAAATAGAAGAATATATATTTATGGGCACACCCATATATGAAACAAGAAATTGCTGGTCCTCCACGGGACCTCCATGGGAGTGGGTTAACTAAAGTTCAGGTGTCAGTGGTTCCTCCAGCGCCGCATTCCAAAAAGACAGCCCGGAGCCCTTTACAAGTGACGAATTATCAAAGTTCCCACAACAACAGAGGAGGGGCGGGAGGGGAAAAAAAAAATCAGTTGTTAGCAACAGCCTCTGTAGCGTTTAGGAGCCGGTTTACGGCGTGCAGCTGCCCAGGGGCGAAGGCAGAGCGGGTCGCAGGGACACTAACGTGCACGCTCGGCGCTGCTGGGGAAATGAGAACCCTGCTGACGCCCAAGCGTTGGGGGCAGAGCTCTACCCACGCTCAGCCAGGCAAGACCTAGTTTTGAACGAGGGCTCGCACCGTCGTTTTAAGGGTGGGACCTAGCTCAGGTACAGTTATTAGTTGAGTTTATGGACATGTCTTTGCACATGCTGGTCTCAGCAAAGCCAAACGCTCTCCCGCCCCTTTTTCCCTAGGCCACTTCAGCGCGAACAAGCCAGGATTGCTGGGGATGGAGGTGACTATAACCTCATGGCCAGTACCACTGGCAGAGGATGTGCAGCTGTGCCCCAAAAATCTCTCGTCCCACCACAGCACGCAGATAGGGCAGCTTGCTGCCTCCCAGCTCCGCGGAGGCTGTGCTCGGGACACGCAGGCAAGCTCCAGCAGCACTGCTCGGACCGCACGTGGGCTCAGGGAACCGCCTCTGCAGTGACTACATGGACACACGAGCCTCCCAGCAGCTCCTGAGAGCCCATCAGTGGGCAACACGTTCCTCGTTTTGTAGGGACAGGGATGGATCAAATCCATTTGCCATCACAGGCCTGCAGCATCTAGCTGGGGATGGAGAGGATATGAGCCTCTCTCTGAAGCAGGAAGGTTGCAAACACCTTGGCATGCAAGGCATGTGCAGAACGGGAACACTATCTCAACACTCCAAGCACTCAAAACGGTCTTCGAGGTTGTTTTTGCTTTACTCCTCCAGCCTCAAAGGCTTTACGGAGAAGTATCCTTTTTCAATTACCGAATGGACTTGCTAAATCTTCTCGTGAAGCGTCTGCATGCTGACGTCCCATCATTTGTGGCAGCAGCATAGATAAGTTTACCAGAAAACCCCGTAACAGCTATTTCTTCAGATGTCAGACCATCCATGCTCCAGCAGTTACTATTACAAAACAGTTGCTTGGACTTGCACCAACTAGACGTTTCAAGTGCCGTTTCCTACTTTCCTGTCTCTGAGGACGAGGCAAGGGGCTAAGGAAAACCCGCTACAACACATCAGTACAGTTTGAGCCCAAGTTGTCTATAGGATAACGCTTGCTTAGCGCCTTGATATGCGAGAAAGCCAGGAGGCAGGCAAACCACACTCAGGAGGACAGATGCTAGCTGGAGATGGCAGGACCCCTGCCATGTCTACAGCCCCCGCTTACTCTGCCCAGGATCAGAGGCCAGGAGCCTTCCATGGCGCTTCACCACTCAGTTGCCCCACAAGCCTGAAAGCTCTGCAGCTTTCAGACCTCTCTGCCGAAATGTCTCTCCATGGTCCTCGGCACCTGCTCTAAGCACCTGATGAAAACCAGAAGAAAAAAGAAGAAAAGAGGACGCTTCCTTTGCTGCAATCCCAGCAGACTCTTTCTGAAGTGCCATGTTAGAGACTTTCCGTTCTTTGGAAGCAGTTTAGGGAAGTCCTAGGTGTTCTCATCCCT